AAGAATTGAGAACAATTCATTTTTCTTTAAGCCTACACTTTTGTCAAACTGCGGGGTAGGCCTATGACTTGTCGAAATGCATGATCGCTGGCATGGCGTCGTACCTCCCTTTGGGCTGCAGCAGTTCACAGTTAAATTTTAGCAGCAAGCTCCTTACTGCCGAAACACGTTTGTGAATCACTGAATTTCTGTGAAAAAAATACTACGGATACTAACAGGAAGCTGGGGAGCTTCAATCTGTCTGCGTTACCTACTGACATCTTTCTATTTGAATACGATGAATCAAAGTTCCCAGGAGACGGACAACTTGACATACTTTCTGTGTTCTGCTGCAGCTAACACGTATCAAAGAGAAAATGGGTTCGAAGACGACCGAACTACCTAATTTATGATGAACTGCCCGACTCGGTCCGATTTTATTCAGCCCGGTTATATAATCTTTACTTTGAATTATGTGATTTAACGTAGATGCGGCACGAGTGGTCGATCACAGTGGGAAGCAACGAACAATGAAAGGTGTCACGGCGGAACTTCGCTGCGTCGCAAGTGCCGTTCCCGAACCGCTTTGGGCGTGGACCGGTCCATCAGGCACTATCTATGCTGATGGCTCAAAATACATCCTCGATACTCATTCCCTCAGCACAACACTCATTGTGAGCACTCATTCGTTTTTACCCAGGCAAATGGTACTGTTTAAAAATTGCTTTAAATAGCAACGTTCAATAGATTTTTATTTGTTGCAATACAGTCCGATTTTTTGATAATGATGAAATGTAGAGTAGACTTTATTCTGTCCCTGGTTCTCTTCCACACTACCTTGAAAAAAGGCTTATCCGTCTGTCGCCTTTTATACAAAATAGCTTTAAGGGAGATGAGGGAGCTGTGAGCAGCGCAGAATAGTTTATTTGACATGAAAACGCAGATTTTTAATGTGTAACTTGCAGAGTGGGACGACTCCGGAAGTTATTGACACTTAGAATGACTGGGAGACATAAATAGAATAAACATAAAGTCTGTAAAAAACTTTAAAATATTTGCTGGGCAATTTCTTGCGAAGTTCATGAAAGCGACTAAAAATTTAATAGTAATTTAGGTGCGGTCACTTAGTGGACACGATTTTGGCAAATACAGTTGTACTGCTGATAACGGAATTGGTCCACCAGACCGCGCTGATTTGCTGTTGGTTGAAATTTGTGAGTTAGCAGTATTGCTACATTGGCTATTTCAGTACTTTGAATAGTGAGGTACCAAGCACTGAAAGGGCAAGAAAGGGAAGAAATGAGGGAGTGGAGATGTCATTGGTTGCTGAAAAGGATTAGAGGAAGTACGGTGAAGCATTGTGTACAGAAGTTAGCAAAGAGGTGCGGATTTGAAAGGTTTTAGTTTGCTTTAAAGAGCAGGGAATTGCTTCTGAATGCAGTAAATCGATTAAATGAGACAAAAATAGTGAAAGGTCGCCACTTCGACCAAGGTGCTTCATTTTGTTTGGAGACCATAAAATCTGGGATGCTTCCACTTTGTCGAAATCTGAGTGTGGCATAAGTTTTCAATCTAGATTCTGACCTCTTTCACGTGTTGTGGAAATTTTAGGGATATAAATAAAAATGTCTGTGACCAGGAGGCTGGAGGAGGGAAGATGGCTTAAAATCATCTGTGTATTAACAAGTACAGCTAGTCCAGCTTAGCACGCCCATAGAGGAGAAAAACCAGTAGTCGAATTTCGACAATTTAAAGAAGACATCCAGAAGTGACATTCAGGTCTCGCATATAGGTAAGCTCGTATTTGCTGTGATTTGGTAGCCTGCTCATGTTTCATCCCCAAATTGTAAACACTGACAGCAGGGTCAATGCGAAATGGGGTGAGAATCACTAGTACAGTGCCCCATTTCGCCATTTAGACTGTCTGGGGAAGATAAAAAACGGAGAAAAGCGAAGAGAGAAAGAGAGCGAGGGTGAGGAGAGCAACAAAGGTAAA